TGAAACTCACGTGGTAAAGGAAAGAACCAGACCCCACAAGTTGGTACACATGGCACATGCACACCCCTCCCCTGCAGTAAGTAAATATGTAGGGGTGGGGAGCAGCCAAATAAATGCAGGAAATGCACATCAGAAAGCAATTGCTTATGTGTGTTCTCATGCTTGAGAGGTATATATGTTTCCCTAATACTTAGAACTTAGTTTAAATCCAAAGGCAGTGTTCGCATCATAAACTTGTAGAGAATTCTGGTGTCAGTATGTTTATGACCTTTTAAGTGGTGCTGTTTTCCTTGGGGCATTTTGGAATATAGAATAATCAATCACTGAGAGTTTGTTTAAAAATGCACATCATTGGACCTACCTTAAGACTCTTGAGATTTTGTATTTCCATTTTCTTCTAGTTCTTTTTATGTATGTGACCTTATTTCTTATTGGAGTGTGAGTCTGCTTTTTGTGGTGAACGAGTTTAAGAGGGATAATCAGTGACTTGTCATGCACATTTGTCAACAAATTTAGATGGATTAATTCAAGTTACATATCTTCCCTACCCTCACCCCAATAAAACCTGTCTGTTTTCTGCCAATACTGTACAAATGATGAGCATTTTTCTATGATGAGGTTTTAACCATTATTAATGGTGGTCTTTGTCTTTAAATCTTTTTTTTAATAAGATTTACTGTGTGTATTTTATACCGAATTATTGCAAATGTTTTTGATTGAGTTCTGGTTTTCAGTCCTAACGTGCCATGCCAGCTCTTTGTATATCGTGTAAAAGTTCTCTCAGAGTACTCATCGGGGATAACGGTATGGACGGGCAGAGTGGTTAGCATTTGGTGACGTAGAAATCATTTATTTTGCATAAGCTGTGGTCAGATAGTTTTATCACATGCAGCTGGATTGGATGTCTAGTTCTGTATGTCCTCAGTGCCGGTACATTTAGTTTAGAAATTTGTTTTAATTTTTGTCATGTAGAATACTGCCTTGTTCACTATGATGTAATCTGTATTTGTATATTTTTTTTACATTAAAACCTTTAAATAAAATGTTTAATACCTATGAGGAGTGCACCATTTTTAACAAGTGCCACATTAAAAAAAAAAGTTCCCGAACTAGACTATTTGTTCCAGAATTTCTATAATTCAGACAACATTCTATTGGGGGGGATTGAAAGAGTCTAGTACATTTTAAACCTGTTCCTCAAGTAGGTCTTTTCATGTGAAAAGCAAGAAATAGCTGAACACAGAACTGAAGCTTACCCAAACATTCAGGGCGGGTCATTCCTATGTTAATTAGGCTTCACGCTGGTCTGTTGTGTTCGAAAGGCTGGCACTTCCACTCTGCGGGTTATAGCTGGCTGATGTCCATGAGTGGTCTCCACCGTAACTCTCCGTTCTCCCATGGGAATTACATCTTCAGTGCCTTTGTCCACAGAAAGCACGGCACTACCGTGAAAGCCTTCCCTTGAGTTCATCCTGATTGCAACCCTTGTTTGAACAGTTAGAGACAGTGCTGGTGAGGTGCCATCAGGCAGTTCCCTGTACCACATCAGGTAGCGTCACTAACACTCGGTGCTAGTGAGATTTCCAGGCAGTCCAACAAGGACCTTGGAGTTTTAGGGGAATTTTGCATGAAACATTGAGTCACTGGGGCAGCCAGCTGTCCCCTGAAAGGTGAAACAGATCTCCAGTCCCTGAAACTTTGACAGCTTGTTTCTGAACAACACCAAGCAGTGTGGCATGTGGTAGAGTTGGGGTCTTTCCTAGACTTGCTCTAGGAAAGAATGGAATCAGAGACATGAGACCATGCAGTCCCAGTAGGCGGAGCCACCAATCTGCTGCACCACATTGAGTCATGCTAAATAAGGCTAATAAAGCTGAACCTCTGTCATTGACACTGATAGGAAACAGACACACTTGCAGTGTTCTCTAGTCCAGTGAAAAAGGCCAAGGAAATGTAGTAAATACACATGGTGTGGCTGTGATTGCTATCACATAACAATGAAGAAGCTCATGAGTTGACTTTCTTGTTGCTCTATGGCAGACACTTTGGAGACTTAGAGCAAGCTCCATGGAGCTTTCCTTTGTTTTGGATATCCACAGAAAGAAGGGTGCTCTGTCCCAACACTTTGTGCTAAGAAAGGGCAATTAGCTTTCACCAATGGGATGGACAAGCAAGCTGCCAGGTGCTTCTGATTGGATCAGTTTTTTTCAGCTCAGAATGAAAGATTTTGGGATGTGAGCTGTGACAGTGAGTCCTCATATTCAAGCTCTGCTGACACTAGCGTGTATTTACTCCAATTGCTATTTTTGTATTGGAGAAACTGAATTTATTATACTTATATATCTAAGAGATATTTGGTATGATATTTTCTAGGGTATAGGGAATTAAAAACTATGAGATGCATCCGCTAAATTGGAGAGTTTGTTAGCTCATTTACACCCACAGTAGATGGTCAGTAGAAACTTCATTTGGCAACATCCCTGAAATAGTTGGATGCCATGTTTTTGTGCCAGTCAACAAATGGGGAAATGAACTGCCTGGATAGTCTTTTGATAAAGAAACAAATAGCCAGTAGCCATTTTAAGAAGTCTTCAATATCCCTAACTGTCAGGGAAATGCAAATTAAAACTACTTTAAGATATCAGTCAGAATAACTGTTCCCAGTAAATGACAACAGGTGTGGAGAGGAGACTGAGAGGAAGGAACCCTTATTCACTGCAGTGGGGGTGAAAAGTAATACAGCCATTATGGAAATCAGTTTGAGATTCAAGTAATTAAAAATGGAATTACCATGTGACCCCACTATTTCACTCCTGATGTGCAGCCACAGAACACCATACTCAACCATAGATATTTGCACCTCCGTGTTTATTACTGCCGTATTCACTGTAGCGAAGAATTGGAGTCAGCCTATTTGTCCATCAACAGATGAATGGATAGTGACGATTTGAGAATAGTGGTGAATTCTAGTCAGCTCTAAAGAAAAATGCAATCACAACATTCATAGGAGAATGGATAGAGTGTATAATATTTAGTGAAATCATAATCTAAGAAAAAAACTGCATCTTCTCCCTCATAGGTGGAATTTAGCCAATATGTTTTGTTTTGTTTTTTGCAAACAAATGTGTGTTTGGGTAGAGGTTACATGTATGAAGAGAACAAGAGAGGCTTAGGGGATGGAGGACTGGACGTGATGAGAACGAGTTATGCGTGGATATAAATCTTGGTTTTCTAGTTCTTACTCTTGTCATGTGTTTTTCATTTGGTGGTGGATAAGTGCATAAAAATATACTCCATAGTGAACAAAATCCAACTTAAAACACCACCATTTCTGTTCGAAATGGCTATTCTAAATACAGAAGTTCATTTGAGTTACGTGGTCTGGGTCTGGTTAATCTCAGTGTGTAATGTATTTTTATTTGAAGTGTTTTCTATAATATAGTTTACAATTTAAAAAGGGAAGTGCCAGGTTTCTAGCAGTGGAACCCATGGCTAGATTTAAAACTTACCACAAGCTGGGCATGGTGGCAACCCCCAGTAATCCCAGTGCTTAGGATCCTCCTTGGCTGTATTGAGAGTTCTGGATCAACCTGGGATAGAAGACCTTGAAGAAGAGTTGGGTTGGGATGGTTCAGTCCTACAGGCCCTTGCCAACAAGCCTGACAACCAAAATTGGATCCTTGGGCCCCCGTGGTGGAAGTAGAATCTGCTCTTGAAAGTTGTTTTTTGACCTCCATAGGAGTGCTGGGCATCACTGTCTGATCCTGATAAGTAAAATTTGGAAAATCTTATAGGAAGTTTGTGCTTGTGAGTAGTTTTGTGACCTGTATTATTGTCTAGGAATAACATGTATATTACAGAAATTTAACTTTAAAATTTTGAGTGTACTTGTGGGCACACACAGCATCAACACAGAAGTCTCAAGTGGTCCTCGGGCCGTCTGTTTGTTTGTTGTTTTTTGTTTTTAAGCTAGAGTTTGGCGGAGTAGGCCAGTCTAGTTGGCGGGTGAGCCCCACGGACCCTCCTGCCTTCATCTCCCCGGTGCTGGGGTTCCGAACACATACCACCTCTCTTGCCATTTTATTGGGTCAGGGCCTCAGACTCAGGTACTCACATTTGTAACGCAATCACTTTATGGCTTTCTTCCCCAGCTCCCTAACCTAACCTAACTTTAAATTTTAATGAACTCATAGGTAGGGTGTCTCATGCTGGGGACTTTGATCATGTTAGGCAAGCACTCCTAACTCTGAGCTGTAGCCTACCTAGCCTGGAGAAATCTTATGCAAAACTTTTTCTTGTCACTGGAGTTTTACTTAAAGCAGATTTTTCGATGTACAGAAGGATATGTATTTGTGAATAGTTTGACTCACTTTTACTGTGTTGACCCGCAGCTTCATACATACTAGGTAAGTGCTGAGAAACAGCACTGAAGTCAGAGTCTGTGCCAGCCTTGATGTTTTTCTAAACTTTCCTTATTTTGTTAAGCTTAAAATATAACTTATGCATTGATGGGGAGATTTTTTGTTTTTGTTTTTGTTTTTCGAGACAGGGTGTCTCTGTGTAGTTTTGGTGCCTGTCCTGGATCTCGCTCTGTAGACCAGGCTGGCCTCGAACTCAGAGATCCGCCTGGCTCTGCCTCCCGAGTGCGGGGATTAAAGTTGTGTGTCACTGCCGCCTGGGAGATTTTTTTAATGTATTTTTATTAGAGAATTTCATGCACGTGTACAATGTATTTCTAACATCCACCCTGCACTCTCCATTCCACCTCCACCTAGGCCCCTCCCCGCAGGTACAGCGACTCCCTACTTGCCTTCCTTCCGCTTCATAAGCCATTTTAGTGCTGCCCATATGCATATGACTGTGGAGCCATCCAAGGTAGCACAGAGCAACCTACCAGTAACCACATCCCTAAAGAAAACGACTCCCCGGCCCTCCCTCAGCACCCACCAGCTGCCAGTAGCTCCTCAGCTGGGGCGAGGCCTTGCGAGCCGCCCTCCCCGACACCTCCACCCCCACCCCCCCGCGCCCGCGCATCCGTTTCGGGATTTTGACAGGCTTGATCTTGTCCAAGTCTTACAGGCAGGTGAGTTAGAGCTGTGAGTTCAAGAGTTCAATAGCCTCATCACGGCCAGAAGAGCATTTCGCAGCACGCCTCCGCATCCCCCGGCCTTAAAGTTCTTCCCGCCTCCTCATTCTCGGCGTTTGCGATCTTGGGATAGGGTTGGGGTACTGATACCGATGTCAGATGTTTGTGGCCGAGCACACCTACCGTCTGTTCTTAACACGATGAATTTTGAGTTCACATTAACTGATGCCCGCTGCAAAAGAGCCTCTCCGTCGAGGCGGAGAGCCGCACACATTTATGGAGAGTGTTGCTGGGCGGCTGCTCTGAGTTGGAAAGTGAGGTCTCTCGGATCCCTCCTGCTCTAGCAGGTTCCTGGTGGTGCTGAGTGAAAACGTGTTTGGCAGCTGCAGGGTTCCCGGGGTTCTGGTGCGTGTTGGGGGGAGGGGTGTAAATCCTTATCTGGTAGTTCCTTCCGACCTGGCCCTCCACCGTGGTCCTGCACGTCTGATTGGAGGCTCGTTCACGGGAGCGGAAGTGCAATCTTAAGGGATTTTTCGTTTGATATGTGTTGCGGGAAAGTTGGCTTAACGCTTTTTTTTTTTTTTTTTAAAGCATACGCATGTGTTTATGTAGCAGGTATTTCCTGGATTAAAATGTCCTTTCTCCAGCAGTGTGGTTTGGCCCCGCGTGAGATAGAAAATGGGGGCTGACAGCCTTGGGCCTGGTTGGCTGAACGATGACGTTGTGCTTCACCACCACTAGGGGACAGTCTCTCGCCTGATGATGGTCAGTTTACCCTGCGAAGTGTTTCATACCCGCTGGCAGACCAGTGGCCAATAAATTCTGGATTTATTGGTGTTTATCTGTGTCTCGATTTTATTGAAAGTCAACATACTAATCAAATTGCTCTTCAGAGTGAAATCTGCGTTATTTGGAAGTCTGGCTTTAATACGATTTTTTTGCCATCTTTAATCTAGATATTGTAATTTCTATATTAATCATAATTGTGAATGAGAACCTCTTCTGTGTTAAGCAATGAGGAAATATATATGAGGATTTATTACACCATGTTTCTCTAAGAAGAATACTTCTAGTTGATAATAAAACCAGGGAGAGCTGAGGCAGCCATGGCAGATACCTCTAACTCCAGCCTGGATTACATGAGATCCTGTCTCGATAGATGATAGATAGATAGATAGATAGATAGATAGATAGATAGATAGATAGATAGATAGATAGATAGATAGATAGATAGATGATAGATAGACGATAGATAGATAGATATATGATAGAGAGAGAGAATAGAGAGATGATAGATAAAGATAGAGATGGATAGATGATGGATAGATAGATAGATAGATAGATAGACAGATAGATATAGATAGATGGATAGATAGATGATAGATAGATAGATAGATAGATAGATAGATAGATAGATAGATATAGAGCTGATTTGGTTATTGATGTACACAGGAATTCAGTTTAAAACAGTCCAAGGAATTGTATTGTGAAGTTTCTGTATCAAATGTCACATGATATTAAAGTGGTGTCCTTTACAAATTTAACCCATAAATTCAGACACTCCGATTGTCGGTTATAAACCTGATTTTAGCTTGGGGTATAGCTTGCATGAGGCCCTAGTTTTAATCCCTGGGACTGGCAGGAAAAGACCCAACCAAACAAAAAACAATACAGTTTGAGCCGGAGAAATGACACAGTATTAAGAGCGCTCACTGCTCTACAGAGGACCTAGGTCCAGTTCCCAGCACTCACATGGAGGCCACAACCATTTGCAAGTCCCATTCCAGGGGATCTGGTTCTCTGGTCTCACCTCTGCACCAGGCACTCATGGGTGAACATATGTATATGCTTTTTATAAAACAAAACAACAAACCCCTACCAAAAAAAACAAAACCAAACAAAACAAAAAACCTCATGATTTCAGAAGCATTGCCTGGGGTTTAAAATTTTAAATTTTAAATGATTTTTTTTCTTTCTAGCCCCGTTGACAATCGTTCCTGCCACTCCTCAATTCAAAGCGGTTATTTCCTTCATTGCCCAAAAGAACTGATTGTGAAATGGGCCATAAATTGCTTTGAACAGCTTCCCACCTTCTCCTTCCCAGGTTTTCATCACCGAATTGTCAGGTTTGTTGTGTTGTTGACAGCACTTCATGATCTGCACTTGGTGAGAAGAGTGAGTGGTGAATATGAACCACGTCCACTTACAGAGGATTCCCTAACGCAGTACAGGTTTCCTCTTTTCAAACAGAGGGCAGCACTTGTATTTTATTAGCAAGGCCTGGTGTTTTTTGACCTGTATTTGACTTTCAGAGCTGCTACAGACATACAACTTTTCCCAAAGGACATCATTCCTCACTCTAGGGCCACCCAAGTAGAAATATCACTACAGATGATTACAGCTGATCAGGGCCTGGCATGTGTTAAACATTTGTAAACACTCTATAGAACTGTTAAAAACCAGTGTGAGCCAGGAACAGAGAAAATGGCCTTTTGTAATCCAGTATAATAGGGAGAATTTTAATACCACTCCCACCTAACCCTCCTCCCATTATCCTCTGTTCCCCTTCATGTCCCCTGTGCTCTACTGCCCCTCCATGATCTTTCCTCTCCGTCCCCACCAGTGGTCCCTTTCTAGTATCCTGCATTATAAACTACTCCAAGTTAAAGACACAGACCTGAAGATTTGACACTAAGATTCACACAAGAGTGATAACAGGTAGGCAGAAGAGGGGTGAGGGGGCATAACTAACACTAAGGACGTATGCACATCAAAGAGTTGAATTGGAGTTACCATACATGGGGTTATGCTTCTCCCAGAAGTCATGGTTGACAAATGAAAAGCCAGATGTAGGGATACTCCTCCTTGAGTTGTTGGTTAAAGGTCCCTGAGACCCCCAAACAATCCACACTATTACCACTGGTGTTGGCTGCCCACCAGAACTTGACAGTAAAGGTAAGATCCTGTTGCTGAAGACACCACACACTTTGGTTGCAGGACATGAAGAAATGTAGTTGGGACTGACCAGGAAGCTTCCTCCCTGCCGGCTGGCTCTCAGGTGTTTTGTGGCCGACTGGGGCTGGGGAGCATCAACAGTCTTACTCAGCTGTGAACCCTGTGAGATACAGTAATGACCAGGATGCTGAGATATATTAAAAGTGAATATTTCAGATCAAGATGCCATTTGAAGTGCCCTTCAGAAGGAATCCTCTATACCTCATCAGGAAGTCTGGTTTCGGTAGAATTTCTTTGCCCTTGTCATCACAGAAACTGTGACTTCCATTCCATTCCACATAACTTCTTCCTCCCACCCAAGTACTAACCAGGCCAGACTCTGTTTACCTTCTGGAGCAGGCCAGCCCATGTGCATTTGCGGTGCCGTATGACTTCTTAAACATTCTGCACATTTCTCATTTAATCCCAAAGAGACTGACAAGTATCGTCGGCCCCAGGACCACTGAATCTTGGAGCGAGTACTAGGCCTACTATCTCAGATATTAGCATATACTGTTATCCCCCTGTACACATGGAGAAGCGTGCAGTTGTAACTGACTCGGGGTCAATATGGCTCCAGTTATGGCCATTAACTCGCAAAAGAGCATCTCAAATTTTCTCTAAGTTGTTATCTTTCTCTTCAAGAGTGCACACACAGCTCTGGAGCACAGTCTTAGCCTTGTTTACTCCTGGATGCCCACTCCTGAGGGTCTGTCTGAACATCAGCCCTTCCTCCGGGGCCGCATGGCCTCGGTGCCAGTCTTTGCCCACACTTGGATCTTGAAGCAGTGTGAGCCTCCTATGAAATGCACCTTGGACAGCCCGTGGTTTTCATGTCCCACACTAGGCCTGTTACTGGCTGCTTCACCTGACCCTGGCTCCCTTGACTAGAGGAACTGAGGTGGCTACTGGCCTCTGAGAAACCAGGGTGCCACATGGGTGAGTGCTAGGTTCTCTTCTGTAGCTTGGAGAAGTCATGCCCATATGCAGATTATCTGTGTTTTCCATTTGTCCATCTGAGATGTTCCCTCCGTGGCCTTGCTGCCCTGAGGCCTCTTTCTGCTCAGGCCTTCCCAAGCTTAACTTCCCTCCTTCATACTCCCCTAACACTTCTCCTATAGCCAGTAGGCCCCTCTTTGGGGCAAATGGGAGCCTGCATCCCCAGCTTATCCATTGCCCTTTCCCGGTCCCTGAGCGTGTTCTGAGGGTGTCCTTTTCTTGCTTCTGTCTCTCTAGAGAGGCTGTTTATCTACAGGATGTTTCCCAGGGTTCAACATGCTTCCCCCAGCATACTGGTGTTACCCCACCTGTGTGTGGAACATCCTTTACGTCTTCTACTACATGGTTCTGCCCTTTCCTAAATCCACTCCTGCCTGTCTCCTCTCATTTGAGGGAGATTTGGTACCTAATCCACACTGCTCTCCCCCACGACCTACCACTCCTGACAACTTCAGTGCTAAACAGGACACACACAAACCTTCCAAACAGCCAAGTCCACGTTCCCTCCAGCCACATTCATTGACACCAAAGTACCTTACTTACCACACACCGTCACCCTCTTTACCCTTCCTCAGGAACACAACTTCTAGTGTTCAGGTGAGTCACGTCCCCAGAGAACCCTGCCTGCCATAGTCCTTAGGGTCCCCTCCATGGTTTTCTATCATTGTATGGTCAAGGCATCTTTTCTTCATAGCGTCTCTCCGTGTGTAATTCTGTATTGTCACTTTCACACAGAACAACAACTATGCCATTTTCTTTACTCATCTACTTCAAGCTTCCTTATTTATTTAGGGGTGTGTGTGTGTGTGTGTGTGTGTGTGTGTGTGTGTGTGTGTGTGTATGTGTGTGTGTGTGTGTGTATGTGTGTATGTGTGTGTGTGTGTATGTGTGTGTGTGTGTATGTGTGTGTGTGTGTGTGTGTGTGTGTGTGTGTGTGTGTGTGTGTGTGTGGTTAGAGGATAATTGTGGGGGCTGGCTTTTTCCTTCCACCATGTGGGATTCCAGGGATCAAACTCAGGTCAGCAGACTTGGCTGCAAGCACCTGCTGAGCCATCTCACTGGCCCTATCTACTTTCTTTTCTCTTGCAGTCCCAGAACCTAGAATAATGCTTGGCACAGAGACACTCCCTAATTACCTATACATGAATAAAGAAACGAGTGGATGACAAATGTCTTTGCTGGGTTTGCAAAGAGGCCCCACTGTCTCAGGCCTCCACCGTGGACAGAGCGTGGCAGGAAACCTGCTGCTGCCCCAGCTGGGCTGAACTGTGGAAGCAGCAGTATCAGCAGACCACCCAGATGGCTTGGATACTTTGATAATGCTTGGGGGAAAAAAGCCGCACAAAGGAAAAGCTTCACCCACACAGTAAATGCTGACCTAGGCTGGACCTGCCTCTGCCAGGAAAGTGAGTCACTGTGGGTTTCTGTGGCATTCCCCAGCACTGAGGCAAATGTAGACCTCAGCCAAGGCCCTGGTGTCCCAGGTGAAATTGTGGATATCAAGGGACAGGAGACGCCTGAAAAACTGTAGCCGGGTTCTCACTCCTTGTCAGTGTTCTGTTTTGCCTTGTGCTGTGACCTTAGGATCTGTTAGTTTTTGTCTTGTTTATGAGTCTTGGAGCAGGGCTATTTCAGGATATAGATTGCCTTTGCTACATTACCAGATCAATACACTTGAAAACCCTCAATGGCAGATGCTTCCTATGTCAGCAATAGATACAGTTCTCAGAAATGCTGCAAGGCCTCTTGGACGGGAACCTGATGCAGGTGGAACATCTGGGGAGCACTGGCTCAGGATTTCGGACGGGAACCTGATGCAGGTGGAACATCTGGGGAACACTGGCTCAGGATTTCGGACGGGAACCTGATGCAGGTGGAACATCTGGGGAACACTGGCTCAGGATTTCGGACGGGAACCTGATGCAGGTGGAACATCTGGGCAACACTGGCTCTTGGAAGTCCTCCTCTCTCCAGTACTCCCTCCTGTGTGACTTCTTTTGAAAATACATCTTTATGTTTTAGTGTTTAGTTCTCACTTTATTTTGTGCATGAGCGTTTTGCCGGCACGTCCTTCTGTGCACAATTTGTGTGTGGTGCCTGTAGAGGGCAGAAGAGGTCGTCAGATCCCTGGAACTGGAGTTGCAGACAGTTGTGAGAGGCCATGTGGGTGCTGGGATTGAACCCAGGTCCTCCAGAAGAGCAACCAATGCTCTTAATCTTTCTGCCTCCACCATCCAGTGACTTCTTGAGATGACTTCTGGAAGCAAACAAGACTTCCTGCTCTTTGGCCTTGGCTTACAGACTTTTCTGCTCAGAGAAGAGATGTTGACCCAGAAGACATCTGTTTCCTCCAACAGTTATTCTCAAAAGCAGTGCGTTTGTCTCTACCATCAGCCCACTGAATACCTTGCTGCAGGAGGAAGGTAGGGAGGGGTGTAGTTCTTCCAGGCCAATGTTCACAGAGTCCAGAAAAGTTTCACCTACTCCAGGGCTGGAGTCGTGGGGTTGGAAATGGAGGCTTTGCGCCTTGGTTCAGCATCCAGGCCTTAGGGGTTCTCACATGGGTGACATCTAATATAGCCTAGACATTCCAACCTGAACCCCCCATCCCCACCCTCCCACAGGCCCTGCCTCCCTTTCACTGCCTGCCTTCACGTTCTTTCCCTACCCACTCCTTTCCTTCTTTTCAGGGCCTTCCTGAAAAATGTCCTGTTCTGGCCCTGAGCTTGAGATTGCCTGCCAGTCTCCTAGAGTTCTGGCTTTACAAACATGTCCAATCTCCTACAACCTCTGCTGCCATGACAGGGGGGTAAACTGTCAGGTTGAGGAGGAGAGGAAAAATGGAATTGCCTTCATTTTATTTGTGAATTTTCTTTTAATTTTGTCACTTCTGAATTTCTTTAAAACTCATCTTGCAGCCGGGCGGTGGTGGCGCACGCCTTTAATCCCAGCACTCGGGAGGCAGAGCCAGGCGGATCTCTGTGAGTTCCAGGCCAGCCTGGTCTACAGAGCGAGTTCCAGGAAAGGCGCAAAGCTACACAGAGAAACCCTGTCTCAAAAAACAAACAAACAAACAAACAAACAAACAAACAACCCAACAAAACCATCTTGCATCATTGAGACTAACATCCTATGCTAGCTCATCCCATGGCTGTGTTTACAATTTAAGTTCTTCACACTTGCATGATTCTTGGGCTTTGGGACCTAAAGGACCAGCTGCCTCCTTTTTTTTTTTTTTTTTTTTGGTTTTTCGAGACAGGGTTTCTCTGTGTAGCTTTGCGCCTTTCCTGGAACTCACTTGGTAGTCCAGGCTGGCCTCGAACTCACAGAGATCCGCCTGGCTCTGCCTCCCGAGTGCTGGGATTAAAGGCGTGCGCCACCACCGCCCGGCAGCTGCCTCCTTTTAAACTTGGAGAGAGGTTACAAACTCCCCCTGCGTTAATTTTGACTTGGCAGAAGTCACTTCTGATAGTCACTTCCTACTTCCTGTTTTCATTCTTTCCTTACAGGGAGCAGAAGCACACACGGGGGCGGGACAGCACACCGAGGGGCTGCAGCTGGTGCGGAAACAGGAGGGCAGAGCCCCCCGCCGCCGTTTCTACCCATGTACACAGTCAATGATCTTCCGAGTATTCCAAACAAGCGGCAAGCACAGGCCAGCGAGACTCATGAGTGAAAGGTTGCTGCCACTGCTGCCTTGAGTTGATCATGGACCTACATGGTGGAAGAAGAGAACCGACTCCCTCCCGTTAGTCTCTGGCCTGCACATTTGTGTCACGGCACTTATGCGCCCCCGCCCCATACAATAATTAAATTAACAAATAAAAGACAAACAATATTACCATGGAAACAGTCTCTGTGTGTCCGTGAGGGCTCATATACGTAAGACACATAAGATAGTGCCTTGGGGCATTTCTCTCTATGAAACCCTCTTGTGGCCCTGGAAAACCTGCAGGCACTCTGAGAGTGACCTAGGGTGAGTGACACTGGTCTCAGACGGACACACAGACCCATAAGGGATGCAGGCTTGGTTCCTCCTCTCCTCAGAGTCCAGGACAGATGCCTGGTTCCCCTGACAGCCATGAGTTGAGACCAACAGTGGCTGTCAGCTTGTGGTTCCCCGGAAGTGGAAAGGCTGGAATGCATACCCAAAGAAGGCTCTGCAGTCCCTGCCTGGAACTAACTGGCTTCACCTAGGTTTTGGCTTCTCCTAAGCAAGAGAGGCCGAGGAATGTCAGCCAGGTATGTGCCCGGGAGGGAGAGGCGCATAGATTTGGTGTCCTGCAGCTGCAGCACACCAGAGCAGCGGCACACCAGAGCAGAGTCTTCCGACTGAGTGGAGTCGGGGAGAAGCCTTGCACTGACCAGCGAAGGGCAGTGGCGTAAGTTTTAGATTACAACGGTAGGTGGCCAGGCCTGAAAGTCACAACCCAGGGGGCCACCGCACCACACTTCAGGTCCTTCTTCAGCTCCTTCCTTGGCCTGTTGAGCACTGCCCCACCTCACCAACATTTCCAGGCCTCCGATTCAGCCACCACGACCTCCTGACTCTTGGTTCACATGTCTGCCTTTCCATGGCAGCGCTTCGAGTCTGAGGCCTTGTCCTGCTGTCCACGCCCAGGATGTGGCTCTGTGGAGCCTTCCCCAGGACAACATCTCCTGATTCTCTCACCTCTGCCTGACCTTCTTCCTGCCTGGCATTTGATTTGCCTTTAAATTGTTTTAATTTAAATTTTAGAATGCGAAGGATTGAACTCAGGGCCTGTAAATGCTGGGCAAGCTCTAGGTCATTGAGCTACATCCTCAAGCCTTCTTTCTCCCCCATTTGTGTGCATGTGCACGTGTGCATGCATGTGTGTGCATGTGTGTGTGCATGCTGTGTGAGCGGGCACGCAGGTGAAGGGTGCCATGTGACTGCGCCTGAGGTTGGCGTCGGGAGTCAGTTCTCATTATTCTTCTCCCTTGTCCATTGCGGCAGGACCTCTCACCCAAACCCAGAACTTCCAGCTATGAGCGGTCTCACTAGCCACCCTGCTCAGGGGATCTCCCAGCTCTGCCTTCTGAAGCTAGAACTAGAGACAGGCCTCCTTGCCCACCTGGTGGTTTAGTGCGATCTGGGGATCCAAACTCCAGTTCTCACGGTTGCCTGGCCAATGCTTTAAGCACTGAGCCATCTCCCCAGGCCCTCTTGATGACGAAATGCCTCAGAAAGTCAATTTAAAAGGAGGACAGGTTTATTAGGCTTACAATTACAGGTCTCACTCCCCACGCACAGCTCTGCTGCCTTTGGGTCTGTGGCAAGACAAAATATCACGATAATGAGTATGCAGGAGAGGAGGTCTGGTCACCTAGGAAGGAGCCGTTGGGGGCAGGGTCCCAATATCCTCTTCAAGGGCACTCTCCCAAGGTCCTTTCTTCCTAGGCCCTACTTCTCACAGGCTCCAGGACCCAGTGACACAGGCTGGTGACCAAGTTTCAACACATGGCGTTTACGAGTCATTTCAGTTCTGAAACTTAACAGATGCTAATGACATGGCAGAGATTTGGGGCTAGCTGACAAAAAGACCAAGATGTATGGTATGGTTTGAATGCATCCCCCCCAAAAGGCAGAAGCTACTCCTCGGTGCATTAGGGCTGAATTCTTGACATTACGGAGGAAGAAGGTGTATCTAATGACTACATCAAGTTCCTTTTCTTTTCTTTTCTTTCTTTGGTTTTTTCAAGACAGGGTTTCTCTGTGTAGTTTTTTTTTTTTTTTTTTTTTTTTTTTAGGTTTTTTGAGACAGGGTTTCTCTGTGTAGCTTTGCGCCTTTCCTGGATCTCGCTCTGTAGACCAGGCTGGCCTCGAACTTATAGAGATCTGCCTGCCTCTGCCTCCCGAGTGCTGGGATTAAAGGCGTGTGCCACCACCGCCCGGCTCTCTGTGTAGTTTTGGTGACTGTCCTGGATCTCGCTCTGTAGACCAGGCTGGCCTGGAACTCACAGAGATCCGCCTGGCTCTGCCTCCTGAGTGCTGGGATTAAAGGCGTGCGCCACCACCGCCCGGCTCAAGTTCCTTCTCACAGGTCTTTTCAGGCCTCTCTTGGCCTCTCCCCACCCTTCCACTACAGAATGATGTAGCAGGAACACCCCACCCGAGGCCACTTTGGGAACTGTGAGGAACAAGCTTCTGTTCACTGAGAATTACCCCTTCTATGATATGTCACGGCAGACTCCTGCAGCATGATCAGAGGCTGGACTTTCAGCCTAGCCGTCAGCCTTGAGCTGATCACCAATGTCCAAAGAGAGAACTGATCTTGCTGAGATGATGGAGCCTCCAAGAAAATCCAACGGTTCAGGGAGCATCTAAGGAGCTGAGCGCCCAAAGGTGTCTAGGATGTCCTCGGCAACATGCCCTGACCGCCTGCCTTCCCATACTCCCCAGCTCACAAGAGAGGCCCCGCCCTGTGCACCACTCTCTCCTGGCTATTTATCTGTATTCCTTGCGATTGCCAATTTTCTTCTTTATTTATTTTCCTATGTATTTATTGATTTGAGACAGGGTTTTATATATTCCAGACTGACTTCAAACTAGTGTTTAGCCAAAAAGAGCTTTGAACTTCATTTCATATCTTCCCGCCTCTGCTTCTGGTATGTCGAGACCACTGTCCCACCATGCCAGGCCAGGTTTTATGCATCGCTGGAGACGAGATGCAAAGCTCTGTGTATGCTGAACAAGTACTGCAACGGAGCCACATCCCGGCACCTAGACTGTCCTTCTGATAAATAGGGAAGCAAAGCGTTAGCCTGAGTTTGGAATAGCACATGACCGATCCTAGTAAACCATTGGACAGTTTATGTCCAGTCCGTCAGAAGCCTGGGCTGCAGCCTGGAGTTTGCCGCTGGCATTTGCAATGGGAGCAGACTTATGAGACTGAGTCCTGATGCTGTGGGCCTGAGACCTAATCCCAAGCAGATCCTGTCAGGATTGAAATAAACCATAAGTAACCGAGTGGGTATGTGAAGAACTGATTGGTCCCTTACTGGCAAGGACCACACCTGCTGGTGCCCAGAGAGGATCTGTGTTGAGTACCATATTAACTGTATGTAAGAGTAGGAAAAAGTTTTGTTTTTTCTTCTTTTCCTTTCTTTTAATTTATTCATTTATTTTGAAACAGAGTCTCACTGTGTACCCTAACTGTCCTGGACATGTAACCAGAGTGGCCTTGGACTCACAGAGATCTTCCTTCCTCTGCCTCCCAAATGCTGGTATCAAAGGCTTGCACCATCAAGCCTACCTTGGCTTTTCTTCTTTTAAACATGGTATCAAATGTTTTAAGACAATTCAAGCACAGGTATAGAAGAAAAAGAGGAAGCTAGGTATTTACTGTCCTATTCTGAAGATCACTCAGAGCTGCGTGTGGCACCCAGGGCCTTACATACACTAGCATTCAAGTACTGAGCTACACCCAGGCCTTGCTACGGGATTGACGACTTTGCTGTATTTTTAGCAGCATTATATATACTTTGTTGTTGCTGATACTCTGAGATAGGGTCTCATGTAGCCCAGGTTGGCCTTAAATCCTTGTGTCATAGCTGAAGATGACCTTGAACTTCTGATCTTCCGGCCTCCACTTCCTAAATGCTAGGATTACAGATGTATGTCACCATGCCCTGTTTATGTGACGGAAGCCAGGGCCTTGTATACTCTAGGAAGGCACTGTGCCCACTGAACCACATCTTTAGGCCCCTAACTAACTATAAAATAATAACTACCTGGCTTAAAACATGAAAGCTAGCTAGCTTGCTTGCTTTTCTTTCTTTTTTTTTTTGTTTTTGTTTTTGTTTTTGTTTTTCAAGACAGGGTTTCTCTGTGTAGTTTTGGTGTCTGTTCTGGAACTTGCTCTGTAGATCAGGCTGGCCTCGAACTCACAGAGCTCCGCCGGCCTCTGCCTCCCGAGTGCTGGGATTAAAGGCGTGGCTCATCGTGCACAGCACACGTGAAAGCTGTAAGGAGACATGTCATATTTACATCCTAAACGTCGACCTGATGGAGAAATTCTTCAGGGCCTTATTTACGTCGTCTGGAAAACGGGACCTGGAGAAGAAATTGTAAGTTGGTAGGAGAGTCAACATTTGGAAAGGGAAAGCTGTTAAAAAAGAGAAAGCCGGGCGGTGGTGGCGCACGCCTTTAATCCCAGTACTCGGGAGGCAGAGCCAGGCGGATCTCTGTGAGTTCGAGGCCAGCCTGGGCTACCAAGTGAGTTCCAGGAAAGGCGCAAAGCTACACAGAGAAACCCTGTCTTGAAAAACCAAAAAAAAAAAAAAAAGAGAAAAAAATTCTTCTTCACAGGACCTGACTCTTGTGAAATGCGAGGAACAACAGACAGAATGGTTTAGAAGGCAGTGTTTGACTAGAGCTTGCCTGCTGTACCCATAGCTACCTGCCCACAAGCCCGTGGCTCCCTGGCGACAGCTACACTAATTATAGGAGAGCAAGTGGAAGATGAATTATGTAAATTTACATTGACTGAGGAACCTGCTGGAACATTCAGGAGTCCTGAGTATCAACGTAAAATGAGGATTTTCTTACAGTGAGAAGCAGTTAGAAGAGAAAGTGATTTGCTCTGGTCTTAGAATGAGAATGTGGAGCAGTCAGAATAACATTGACATCACTGTGAATTATTTGGCGGCAACAGCCATTTTGGGAATTTGACAGGAAACATCAAATGGCTTTTTGGCTTAAATTTAATATATTTTTATTTTTTAAAATAATTATTACTCACATTTTTTACAAATCCTCATTGGTAAGTAAATTAAAAATCTTCATGTTC